GGAAAGGCGATTTGCAAAGATTCATTACAAAACATTATACTCACTTCTTCTGTAGATGAGGCTGGATCATGAATGACTCGCGCGAACATAGACGCATTTATGTAGATCGGGGGCGCATTCCCTTCAGAAACAATGTAATCCACTGCAAGTTCAGCGGCTCAGATGTCAGGAGTAAATGACGACTGCTATGTTCATTATTACATCCAACAACAAAACAGCTCAATCGCTTAGGAGTCATTCTTGTTTACATCTGCTCTGGCGGTGAAACAATGGCGGACTGATGACAGCTCACTCAGGGTGGGTCTGAGGTAAGACACCAGTCCAGTCTGTGCTGAAACGCTACTGTCAATCAAACTATCGTGGGAGGGGCCAGTCTGTGTGACGTCACTGTGTGTGTGGCACTATGAGTATAACTGAATATTGGCATGTAGATGTCTTCAGGCAAGGACTTTTATTAAACGTGAAGTTTGGGGCAGATCAGACATTGTATGCATGAGTTTGCAAAAAAAGTTTCATTGCAAAACATCGAAATTTGTCAGGCCGCCACGGACAAGCCCTTCAACAAAAACTCAAGATCTTCACAATTTAACATCACAAAGGGCTTTCGATTACCCTGACCACATTTGGTGTTGATCTGAGTAAATCTCTAGGAGTTCGTTAAAATACAACACCTGAAAATGGCAAAAATTAGACAAAATTTGCTGAGAAAATTCTAAATAACTGACTTCCTGTTGGGTTTCGGAATTTGCTCCAAGACACTTTTTTTGTAGGTTTTGGTTTGTTACATGTTTATTGTGTTACATGCTTACAAAATTTGTTTATGTATCTGAAACATAGCTCGAGGGGCACTTTGTTGAATGTGTATTGGTATTGGTTGAATGAGGCTTTACTTGCCGTGAAGCGGATGAAGAAAGTGACGTCGCGAAATATCTCGATGAACGTTATTTTTCTGGCCATAACCCTCCAGCTCAGGTGAGCCTTCCTTTCTTCCTGTTTTTCATGTAAAGATTGAGAAGGAATGGAAGAGGCCGTTTTTTCCTCACGCATCCATCGATTCCAGCATACAAGTTATGCCAACATCGAGGCGATGCGCAAAAGCGGTTATGGGAAGATGCCCCTATAGAGAGACGCTGGCCAGCTATCTCTCTATGGGTGAGACGTCCTCTAAGACTCCCCTCCTTGACATCTCGCTTGGATGCCAGGGCATACGCAGCAGCAGCTGGTCGGGCTGTCGCTTCATTGCACACGATGGTGATGCTCCAAGCATATCAGGCTGACCGGCTGAAAGACCGGGATAGAAGTCCAGGTCTGAGCCCGAACAACCCAGGGGTCCTAGCCCGTCTCAGTTTTGAGGATCAGAGACTGGCTCAGAAGGCTAGTGTCGCGGCTCGCGCTCCTCCCCCGCCCGCGGGTAGGGGTAGGAAGAATCACGGGTCAAAGGAAGTTGAGTAAAAGACCTAAGGGATGTGATCCAGACAAGGGCGTCAGTGCTTTTGTCCGGATCAGAGTGATACCTCAGTATCTACT